CCAAGACAAATCCATATCGAGTAGATAATAGGAATGTGCCCAAGTGATAATGATGGCTATAATTCTATCAGGAGTAAAGAAAATTTCAGCAACATAACTAAATGACTGAAGAGCAATACTCAGCATATTATTCTAATGGGTCAGTCCAACCTGAAGGGTGAAAGTTCAGTTACCTGTCTGCCTCCTAGGTCTCATTTCAAGATTCTTTTCACTCTTGATAGAACATATTATCTGTTTAAAGAGCTCAGTACTGGGAATTTTTAATAAAAAGGTTTGAAAGGAACACATTTATTAATCCAAGCTTTTTTTTTAAACCCACTTATTACTTAGCATAAAATTACTAAAAAATTATTATATATCAGTTATTTGTATAAAATATTTATTTTATGGGATGCCCAAAGGGAGAAGCTTCTGATCACTAATATAGCCTAGTAAAAGAAAATAAAAGTGGATCAATTTAATCTTAGAGCTGGTACTAATTTCAAAATATTTGCACAAGTAAAAGAATAAACAAAATAATCACCATCATCAAATCAAAAGGAGAGTTATACATTTCAAGGATGATTTGAAAGGACACGAGACTTGCTATGAAAGAGCATATAATAAAATGATCTTCCTTTCCAGGTTAAGCCAAGAAACCAACAGCAGGTAATAATTATATCAGTCCCACCTGAAGAGAATTTCAGACTAAAAGAACAATAAATATAACCCCTCACTGCCCCAATAAGTAAATCTTCAAAAATCTTTAACACGATTGTGAAATCTCAACATACACTCACTGAAAAACAGAAAACTAGTATAGAAATTTGGTATATAGTTGATCAGCTGAAAGACATGAAATTGTTTTGGGTTTTTTTTTTTTTTTGGATTAAGGATGAGAGGCAGAGATAGGACTGAAAAAGGAAGAAATAAATTGTTAACCTTCAAGATGTGGTCAAATTATTGCTCTGTATGATTTTGAGCCTTTTCAGAGCTCTTTAAACTTAGATGGATTGCACAAGTACCTTTTTTTTTTGCAATGGATATAAGTAGCAAAATGAACAACAGGTTATGAGCAAATATCTAAACTTGCAAGCAACACAAATGTACCAACAACACATTCCACATTAGTTCTCTTGATAAGCACACTTCATTCCAATGTGTTTTGTTTGGGAGTTTTAAGCTCAATAACCAGCTCTTAGGAAAAGTAAAACTCTATGTAATTAATAGTAATGATATTTACAGTACACTACTTTGAAAATTGTGCTTCCAAGAGTTATACTAGACTAACTCCCTGTCTTTCTTCCTATAATACAAAGACATCAGAATGATATATTCTTAAACTAAATCCTGTTTTAAAGCTAAATCCATGTTAAGCTGTAAGAAAAACTTGAAGTTCCCCAAAAAAACTGGAATTATTTTTATGATATTTCTACCAGTGTATCATGTTTCATGCAGAGCTATATGCTAACCACCCACAATGAGACATTTTTAAAGATATTCTTTCAGCCTGTACTTTAAATGTCCTGAGTTTTGTGGGTTTTGGGCCATAATCCTGTTACATAAAGTTATTTCTTTATTTCTTTCCATTTCAATATGCTATTAATCTACCTGTCTCATTTTGGAACTCCTTTCACTTTCACAAAAGGAAATAATATTCCAAGTTTGTTTCCATTGGCTCTGGCCTTCACTTCCAACAGTGAGCATAAATGACTAGCTGTTCTAAAACGGGCCATCAAGAGAGAATTTATCCCTACCTCAGTAATAAAAATATTCTATATTGTTCATCCCTTCCCCCATTCTCAATGTATTCTTGCTGTCAGATGGCCTCCCTTGAATCAAACTTAAGAAATGCTCAACTGTTTCTACAAATGCATAAGAACGCCATCAGATGTCTGAGTGTAGATCATGTCTGCTTCATTCCAGGTGTCTCACATCTGGCGCTGATCCTGCAGTGACCACCATAATAAAACAGAAGGAGCTTCTGCCTGGCTTTCATCCTAATCATTCTCTAAAGAGCTCAGTGAAAACTTGGATTCAGAATGTGAAAACCGTTAGTTTTTAGGGAGAATGTTTAAATGAGGAAGCAGTTTGAAGAAGAGCAATGAACATCACAGCTCAGGACATCAAATACCACAACAGGATTTTATTTCCTTGGAATCACAGAAATTACCATCCGTTTTCTATTTTGTCTTATATGGAAAACATTATACATCATCCGTAACACTTGTAAGCCAAAAAAAACCCAACCCCATATGTAGATAGAAATACAGATACGATTTTATTTTTAAGTCTGAGAGGAGAGAGAATAGTGAAGCTACTTGTACTGAGAAACAGATGAGCACTTGGAGGAAATCCATGAATTCTGACACAACTATCATTTCCTGGGGTCAGTGACTCTGTGCAACAAAGGTGGCAAATGGCACATAACAGCTATGATGGAGTCAGACGCTTTAATTTACAGCAAGACCACAGCCATGGCAAGCAGCACTGAATTCTGAGCCACCTTAAAAATTAGGGCCAAGCCCCTAGAGTTTAGGAAGAATCAGAGACAGTGCTATTTTCACTTCTCTCCACCCTTTTCATTCTCAGCAGCACAGTGCTGAGGAAAGAATTACAGGGATTCAAGCACGGACACAAGATAGAGTAGAAAGTTTTGGGGTGGAAATATGTGTATATACGGTATTTATATTTATCTAGTGGCTTTCCCAGATTATCCTGCTAGAGATTTCTTACCTACCTTCCAAATAAGCTCTGATGTGCCAAATTAATAATTTTAGATATGTTCCTACTCTCCCCAACAAATCTACCAAACCCTTAACATTTTATTGCTTTAATATGACTAAAGATAAAACTTTTTAAGTGGCTTTCAACAATTCTTTTGATGTTACTTGGCAACTTGCCATATACATTTAACTCTCAAGTTTGATGAGTTCCAAATTTCTTTTCACACCCAGCCTCTGGGAAAGATACAACTTCTACACACAAAAAAAGTAAATATGGCTGGACTTGTACAAGCTTTAATTCTTTGAAACTGGCATCAGTACAATAAGTGCATAATACTGACCAGCCATAAAAGGGGCTATAGAGGCAATATGTCTGAAAAAAGAGGATTCAGCAAAACAAGGGTTACATTAATGGGACGATGATTGAATAGGTAAATGTAAGACAATTTCAAACAGCTTGCCAAAGGGAAGCCTTGTTTTTCCATTTTCTTATACAGTATCTAATTTCTGGCTCCTCATTTCCTCTGTGATCTGATAATTATGAAATTCTAAATAAAGTGTCATCTTTCTTGCAACAAATCAATGAACAGAAAGCTCCCATTAACAATGCAGATGTTTCCTAAAAATCCTGCTGGTTATTTCCTGAATGTCTGTCCCACAAACCACACAGCAATTCTTTGAGAACAAGGAACCCTCTCTACCTCATAACAAATACAGCTTCTATGTGTGCACACATGGATATGAGTGTATGAGTGTGTGTGTATGCATTTAAAAAGAGGACTAAGAAGTAATATGTACTGGTAACAGCGACTCACCACAAAAATCACCTTTTATTACCAATTTCAGATTGAAATTAGCCCTTTCCAAATGCTGTGGTACAAATATGGGAAAGGAGAGCTCCTATTCATTGTATATTTGTCTCTACAGATGCAGTAAAATTGTTTTTACATTCCTTATTACAGATTTATACCACTAATAGCACCACATCCACAATTATACTTTGGGCATCCCTCTCCCTATAACATAATTTAAAATAATTTCACCTTTATTCCTCATGTCATCCTTATAATAGTCCTATGGTATAAAGGTCAACTTTGTATTAAAAAAATAAAAAATTCTATGGATTACGAACTAACAGGTACACAACTAAGCCTAAATTTATCTAAATAAAGTAACATTACAGGGAAGTTTGTTTTAAACACTCTTTCAGGCTAATAAAAATTATAGATATTCTTACTTTTGCAAAAATCTTCCATCTTCTGCATTCTGTTTGTTTCAATTATTTAGGGCAACCCAGGCTGATAATTACACAGTCCCCAGTTGCTGAGTAAAAGTGATGCTTAATTAGCCAGCAGGAAAGATCGATTAAGATCCAGCAGGGCATCTTGTGAGGTTCTCTCACATTCCTGGAGGGAATATATTCTGGCTGTGCCCTTCAAAAGGATAAAACTCTCAGCTTCTAAGGAGTTTCAATGAAGTTTCTAAAGTAGATGCCAAGATCGGTCAGCCACACAAATTAAATTCCAGTCATAACCCTGTAGATGTTCTCCCTTTCACTAAGAGTACTCAGTTCAAACATTCTGAATCACATTGCCACCAGGTTGGAAAAGGCTTAAAATAACACTCACTTATCCCCAACTCTCATTCAGTTAATTCAGTTACCACATTTTGAGCAAGAAGTGGTTGGGAAATACATTGTAAAGGAAAATGTTTATTTCTTCCTCTTCCAAGTAAGTGTATGTATCTGTCAGGTGCTCACATTCTAAAAGGCACAAATTAGGTCAGGGCCTTTAATTAAAACAAAAATTAGTGAGCATGATATTCCAACCAGTCTGAGACTAAAACATCCTAATATGGTCACAGGAAAAGTATGGTTTAAGTTTTCTATTAGGGAAGGAGATTTGGATGTAAACCAGGAATAAAAATCATAATGAAAATTAATTATCTCATATGGCTTAACATCCTCCCTTTTAGTAAATTGGACAAGCACAAATATTTAGCTTTTCACACATTTGCAAAAGTGTTCAATAAAGAACAACATAACAATCCAGAGCTAAAAGCAGAATAATTTTCTTAACATACATAGTTGTCAAAATTTTCTATTTTGGTAAACTACCCAACTATGCCTGCCTCACTTTAATCCAATTCAGTAAACATTTATTAAGCCTCTACCAAGTGTAAAGAACTATGATGGATATGTCTTACCTTGCTAATTTATATACTGAAGTAGATTTTACTGATTATAAACTGTTTTAAAGCTTATAAAGAAGAATAATGGAACCAGTTGATACAAACCTAGCTCTGATTTGCTGAAAGCCCCGTAGAATATGGTCTCTGTGGTCCCTTGCACCAGCACTGAGGTTCTCATTCCGCAAACCTTCTGCCAGGAAATCCTCAGCATCTAAAAGAAAAGGAAAGTTGATCAATGAAAAAGAAAAAATACTAAGGAAGAAAGAGAAAAATCTGAAAGACTAAGAAATAGGTATTACTTTCTCTTTAAAAATGTTAAAGTTGCAGAACAATGTGAATGTAATTAATGCACACTTAAAAATGGTTAAAATAGTAAATTATATGTTATGTATATTTCACCAGAATAAAAAGTAAGTAAAACTCTACATATGCCTGTAGGTGACACTTTCTAATAATCCAAGAACTTTCGACAAATTTAGAAAGCTAATACATATATTAACCACAAAAATAACTATTTTCTAAACCATCTTAAAGAAACAGTTAAATGTTAATTATCACTGATGGCAGAGGATGGACTGTCAGTTTCATAAACATATAAACATTACAAACAAGTCATAGTGGGTCACAGGCCAATAGAAGCTAGAGAGAAATGTCAATAAATAGAACTTAAATTTAAAACAGAGCTGAACTGAAAACTCAACTACAAAAAGAGAAGGCATTCAAAGAAGAAAACTAATTAGCAGATGCATCACCAATGAAAATGACAATGCAACCAACTGAAGGAACCCACATGGAAAAGAAAAAACATACCCAAGAGAAGAAAACTGCAATTAGGGTGAGAATACACTATAAAATAGGGATCTGATAGAAATATATAATATGAAACAAATCATGTTATATTGAAAGAAACTGGGGAGGCATCTACAAATTTTCCGAAGACAAAAATACACTGATACTGACTATAATTGCTAGAAATACTAATTACATACTTTATTATGCATAAAAGGATTATCATCCCTAAAAAGTATATAAATAATATAGTTAAAAGTTTCCATCTCCAAAAATAGTGCCTGTAATATGAAACTGATATATATACTACCAAAATAATGTTATGAATTTATATAACATTTGGGTTACATAGGACACTTAAAATTTTGTTTTACATTCATACCATTCAACACCATCAAACAAAAAAATCCTAGATAGTCATCACCAGAACTTTTGACGAAGTACAAAGTTCTGGAGATAAAATTTCACAGAGGACCACCATCAACTTCCAAGACCTGCATCACATCTATTGCATATGTCATTTAATAGGTTCCGCCAAAGTCTTCTGGAGACTAAAGAATGAGAAAATGAGAAGTTGAATTAAAAGGTAAAAAATAAATGCTAGCTAAAATTCAATTAATGTAGTACACCATATTAATAGGATAAAGGACCAAGACCACACGATAATCCCAACAGGTGGAAAAAAAGCTTTAGACAAAATTCCACAGCCCTTCATGATTTAAAACAAACAAACAAGAAATAAACATTCAACAAACTAGAAATAGAAGGAAATTTCCTTAGCCTGACAAAGATCATCTACCAAAACCCCACTAACATCACATTTAACAGTGTGTGAAAATTCATAAACTGTATCTGCATTTTAAATAAAGTCAGGATGCCAGAAGAGGGAGCTCTCATTCCCTCCCCATTGATGTCAATTGCAGACCCAACAGGAAGAGATGTACCTTTGCATCTCCAACATGAAGAAGGTTGGCACTTTACTACCCAGCAGGAGGAAGGAAAAATTTCTCCTTGCCCAGCAAGAGCGCACCCAATGAGAGACTGTTACACAACTCAGCTAATGAAAAGCTCCCAGTTTCCTCCAATGAACTCTTTGTTTATAACAGCCCCTCCTAAGTCCTCCTTCTCCTCTATAAAAGAAAGTTCCTCTCTTCTATTCTCTAGACTTGCCTGTGGATCATCACAGACTGCATGCTCTGAATTATTAAGTCTTTGTTGTTCCCAAATAACCCCATTTTGCTGGTAAAATAACTGGTTGTTTTGTTGTTTTAGGTCAACAAGTGAAAGACTGCTGTCCCCTATTCCTAAGATTAGCAACAAGACAAGATGTCTAATCTCACCACTTATACTCAACATTGTACTGGGGCTAGCCAGGGCAATTGTGCAAGAAAATGAAATTAAAAGAGTCCAGATTAGAAAAGAAGAAGTAAAACTATCTCTACTTGCAGATGATACAATCTTGCATATAGAAAACCCCAAGGAATCCACCAAAAAACTATTAGAATTAATAAATGAGTTCAGTAAGTTTGCAGGATATAAGATTAATATACAAAAATCAGTTGTATTTCTATATAATAGCAATGAACAAACCAAAATTAAATCAGGAAAATACCTTTTAAGAAAACATTCCATTAAGAAAACAGGATTAAACACTTAGGAATAAATTTAACAAAAGCAGCACAAAACGTAAACTCTGAAAACTACAAAATATTACTGAAAGAAGTTAAAGACCTAAGTAAATGGAAAGACATCCTATGTTCATATATAAGACTTACTACTGTTAATATGGCAGTATTCCTCCAATTGATCTAAATCAATGTGATCTCTATAAAAATCTGAGCTGGCTTTTTTTTTTTGCAGAAACTGACAAGCTGATTCTATAATTCATTTGGAAATCCAAGGAACCCAGAATAGCCAAAACAATTTTGAAAAAGAAGGATAAATTTGGAGGATTCACATTTTCTGATTTCAAAACTTACTACAAAGCTACAGTAACCAAGACAATATGCCACTGGCATAAAGATAGACACATAGTTCAAAGGAACAGAATTGGGAATTCAGAAGTAAACCCTCATATTTATAGTCAATAAATTTTTGATACAGATGCCAAGACAATTCAATGGAAAAGAATAAAACTATAAAAGTGTCAGAAGAAAACAGGCATAAATCCTTGTGGCCTTGGGTTAATAATAGTTTCTTAGGTATGATGCCAAAAGAAAAAATAAATTGGACATCAAAAATGAAAAAGCAGTGTGCTCCAAAGGATGTCATCAAGAAAGTGAAAACATAACCCATAGAATGGGAGAAAATTTTTGCAAATCATACATCTGATGAGACTTTTATGTAGAATATATAAAAAGCTCTTACAACTCAATAATAGAAAGACAAATAACCCAATTTTAAAACAAGTAAAGGATCTAAATAGACATTTATCTAAGGAAGATATACAAATAACCAATAAACACATAAAAAGATGCTCAACATCAGCTGTCATCAGGAAAATGAAAATCAAAACCACAATGAGGTACCACTTCACATCCACTGGGATGGTTACAGTCAAAAAGATGGACAGTAATGAGTGTTGTCAAAGATGCAGAGAAATTAAAATCCTGACACACTGCTAGTGGCAATGTAAAATGGTGCTGCCACTTTGTAAAAGTCTGGAATTTCCTCAAAAGGTTAAACAGAGAGTTACCATGTGACCTAGCAATTCCACTGCTATATATACACCCAAAAGAAATGAAAACAGGAGTTCAAACAAAAACTTGTACACAAATGTTCATAGTAGCATTATTCTTAATAGCCAATATGTGGACAAAACCCAGATATCCATCAACCGATGAAAAGACAAATAAAATAAAAATAAAAATAATCTATACAATGGAATATTACTCAGCAATGAAAAACAAAATGCGGATACATGCTACAATACAAATAAATCTCTGAAATCATTTCACCAACCAAAAGAAAGCAGTCACAAAGGCCACATGTTGTCTAATTCCATTCACATGAAATATACAGAATAGGCAAAAATCTATAGAAACCGAAAGCAGATTAGTGGATGCCTAGGGCTGTGGGAGGGAGGAGGCAGATTGGAGAATGCAGGCTAAAGGGGTTCAAGTTTTCTTTGGGAATGATGAAAATGTTCTAAAATTTACTGTGGTGATGATTGCACAACTCTGGGAATACTATACTAAGAGCCATTGGTTCAGTATGCTTTAAACGGGTAGGTTGTGTGGTACAGGAACTATATCTCAATGAAGCTGTTAAAAAATATAAATGAATGAATGAATGACAACATTTAAACATATCCTTCTGAACTTTCAAAACTGAAGGAAAATGAAAACATCCCTCAAGCATACCAATAGAAAAAAGTAAGTAGTCTACAAAATAACAGAGTCAAAGTGGCCTCTCCACAAAATAAGCACCAGAAAATGAAAGTTTTATAGCATTTTTAAAGGAAAAATACTGTGCTAAAGAATTCTAAACATACTCAATATGTTGGTTATATAACATGAAGGAGAACAAAATATTTTCAAACTCTGAATTTCTACCACCTACATTCTTCCCCAAGGAAATCTTTTCAAGGATATAATGATCAACAGAGAGAAAGAGGTGGTGATGAAATTCAAAACAGTAAAATAAGTTAAATCTAGATAATTGTGGTTAAATATGCTTTAAAACTTCTATTTAAAAGTAATTCTTAAGACATTTATAAAAAAAATGTAATAAGCATCTGAATCTCAGTTAGGAAAGGAATAGAGAGGAAGAAAAACATGCTAAATTACCCATTTTCATAGGGCTAATGGGTACTATTCCATTCTTGATGATGCTAATTAAATCAAATGGGTTCAACTATGATTTTTCAAAACACTAATGTAATAAAAGTAGAACAAAATATTTTTATTACTCAATATCCTAAAATATAGAAAAAAGAAATAAAGTAGCATAAAAATAAAACTCATAAAATGATATTCACTGATCACAATAATTGTGAAAAGTTAGACTCCTCTATTAAGAGTAAGCTATAAGGATATATTGTACAGCAAAGGGAACACAGACAATATTTTATAATAACTATAAATGGGGTTAATCTATAAAAATTTTGAATCACTATGTTGTACACCTGAAACTAATATAATATTATAAATCAACTATTCCTCAATAAAAAAAGAAGAAAAAAGTTAACAGAAACAAGTGAAAAAAAGAAAAGCAAAGTCAGACTATGTCAAAAGATACAATTAATTTAATTACCGTTTAAGAGATACTCACCTGAAACAAAGTGAAGCTGAAGTTAAAAAAAAAGAGGTGTGCAAAAACTCCTAAGCAAATTTTCTTAAAAAGAATAGCAATAATTCACATCAAAGTTGAACTCAAACAGGCCAACAGAGACATTTTATTTTATGTAAGGTTCAATCCACA